CTGTGATGCGTGGCACTTTATTTAAAAAAGTCAAATATATATTTTGAAAACATTTAAAAGGAACAAACTTTCGCAATTTTAAAGCCACCTCTTCTTTGTATTTTAAACCAGATTTATGTGCTTGTTGATGTTTACTTTGTGAACAAAAACTTTAATTATAAATACCCAAAACAAAGACAATGTACTATATGCAATTATATACTACTTCTACTATAGTATTGGCTCCAGCTTCCTCCCATTTATGCTTCATCTGTTTAGTTGTACTTTTCCGGTTTTCAAGACAAATGGCCTTAAGTTGTTTGTCTTGATGCTTTGATGTCTTTCTTGGTCTACCACCAGTACGCTTGGCTTTAACAACCATTCCATGCTGTTTGTATTTGGTCCATATCTTGGATACAGCTGACTGTGAACAGCTCACATCTTTAGCAACCATGCGTGAAGAGTTACATTCTTCAAGAAGTTTCACAATCCTCTCTTTTAATTCAAGAGACATTTCTCTTGAAGCCATGGTTCTTGCCACTCCACTTCGTCCAGCAGCCCTCCAAGGTGTCATAACTGCAGGTGTTTTTAACTGTAGACTAACGAGCAGATCTAATCTTGAGGCAGGTGTCTATTTAGGGAAAGGAAACTGACTGGGTGTGTCCTTATTTTCTTCTTCCAATTTGAGTTATTCCATACTTTTTTCCTCAGAATTGAGTGATTCCAAATTTTTTTCCCTGTGCTTGGTCAATAAAAGTAACATTCACTGACTTCCACAATGTTTTCTCTTCATTTCTTTGAGTGTTCCTGAAAGACAACAAGTTGCACATTAGAATGTCCTTATTAATGTATCATGTTTTTGATATGAGTTAGTTTTACAGGATGAAATGTCTGAATGAGTGCTCATCCCAGACTGGTGATTCCATACTTTTTGCTAGGGGTTGTATATTTACCCAGCTGTTACCCTAATGCACCTGCCTTTTCACTGTGTCTGTGTGTATAATCCAGATTAAAGACTCGTCAGGGCCTCAGGCAGCTCCAGTATCACTGTACAACCTGCAACCGACACTTCAAGAACCAGCGGGACCAGGAACGCCACATGCTGACACACGGTCCTCAGCCTCCCTTCGCCTGCTCGCTCTGTGGCCACGCCGCGACCAAGATGGCCGCCCTGGTCGCCCACGTCAAGAAGCATTTCTTCCTGTATGCCTGCTGCGCGTGCGACAGGCAGATGGCCAGCTCACATCAACTGAGGAGCCACCTGGAGGAGTGTCACCCCGAGCTGGACCAGGAACTAGCCTTCGTGGACAGCATCAACATCAGCTACTGTCTGATCCCACCTGAGGGAGGCGGAGGGAGCGAGGAGGTGCAGAGACGAGCCATGGAGGAGCAGGAGGAGGGTGAAGATGACAAGAGCGAGGCGGGGGGCAATAAGGAGCAAGGCAGCGAGGAACAGACGACGACAGAACAGGACAAACTGCTGGAGGGAGGTGGAGAAGTGCAGGAAGTTGTGGGAGCGAGTGAAAACGGAGAAGAACTGAGGAGTAAAGGTGCTCAGGATGGTTCTCAGAACAGATGTAAAGAGGCAGCAGCCGAGGAGACATTAAACACAAAATGTTCCTCTGCAGCWGAAGACACACGCACCTCCTCATCACCTGAGACCGCCCACAACCCGCTGCAGGAAGAGGGGATTCAACAGGACACGTCTGCAGAAAATAACACGCCTTCATCGTTAGGAAACACAACCTCTGAGCTGAGCAAAGACACGCCTTCATCTTCAGGTCTTCAGGTGGACAACAGACACTGTTTACTTTCAGAAAAGGTGAAGTTAAAGGCAAAATGTTAAAAATGTCAACATAAAGTTTTTTAGTTCAGTTTCTCATGTTTATCTTCATACATTTCAACCCCTTTACCTGTATGTTGACCTTCAAACATCTGCAATATATTCACAAAAACTCTGCAGAGGAGCAGAGCGGATTGGGAGATGGTGATTTCATTGTATTTAGTTTTTTTAAGCCCTACAGACTCTGAGATGTGAAATAAATTTGAAGCTGAGTTTTTTTTAAATCCCTAAATGTTGAAAATCTGTGTAATTTACAAACAATCCGTACATCTTGCATTTATCTTGGTCCTGGTGTTTTTCTTTTCTCCTGCTCTATGTTAATGCGTTCCCATCAGAGTGCGTTCCAGCAGGTGTTTTCCTCCCTCCAGAAGACCCGGCTTGATATGGAGACGTTCCAGAGACTCAGAAAAATCTACGGAGACCTTGAGTGTCAACACTGTGGTGAGAAGAAAACACAGTGTGCATCCTGTCCTGTTTTTATTTCCTTATTTGTGTTTGAAATTGACTTCAATTCTGCTCGRCAGGGAAATTGTTCTGGTACAAAGTCCATTTTAATGCGCACGTACGCACGCACACCAAGGAGCACTTGCATTACTGTTCGAAGTGCAGCTACTCATCTGTCACCAAGAGCGCCTTGAACCGACACCAGATCCAGAAGCACAGCGGCCTGCTGCTGCCTTGTTCTGATCCCGACTGTAAATACACCACGCCCGACAAATACAAACTACAGGCCCACATGAAGACGCACCAAAACCAGGTAGAGTCCAAGATTTGTAGTGTTACAGGTAGTGTTTTCACAGAGAAGTACTTTAAACTTTACTATGATGCCATCAGATTGTCCTAAAAAGCATCTGAGCCTTAAAAATGCATTATTTCTATAAGAGCTGCGAGTGGTGTTGCTTGTTTCTGYGCTCACACCACTGTCTGATGGTTGCTTACAGGGGAGCAGTGCCACTTGCCCTGTCTGTCAGCGCAGTTTTCCAGAGCACAGATTAAAGTACCACATTAAATCCTCCCACCCAGGTAAAGAACAACCGTGTTCACGTTTATTTTAAAACGTTCTCACTGTGTACTTTACAGAGGTTTCTCTGCTTGTTTGTGTGGATGCTTTTGTCAGATCAAGTGGCGGTGCAGGGAAAAAGACTGATGGTACAGCGCGCAGAGAAGTGTCCTTACTGTGACTCCTACTTCCTGAAGAACAGCAGTGACTTTCAGCAGCACATCTGGGCACATCAAGGTGCAAACTACCTCCCTCTTTAAAGGGGACATACGATGCATAATTCACATTTTAAAGCCGTTATATGCATTTTGTTGTGTACTTTGAGTCTCCAGTAGAGCAGGAAATTTGAACGTCGTCTCTCCCGGTGCTGCGTAGATATCTTCTGTTTGGGTCATATTTTTCTCTCTCTACGTATTATACCACATTTTTTGTGGCAGAACTTCTAAATAAGGTCTGGACTTACCAACTACAATTTGGTGAAAGAGGGGGATGGATTCAGAGCAAAGCATTGCAGTTCCACTTTATATAGACCCAAACTGAATGATTTAAATGTGAAAAAAAGGATTTATGTCTGCTTTACCTGGGTGAAGCTCACACTCACAGCCCAAGTCTGCAGCATCTGTAAGGATCTGTTTCAGTCTGAGCTGAGCTTCCATCTGTCTCAGCTTCTTCTTGCTGCCTTCTTGAGTTCTTGAAAGAAAACAGTCGAGGTTGTTTTCGAGGCAAACTGTTGATTAACAGAAGCAAGCATCTTTTTCATTTCCTTATCCTTATTTTTCTGAGAGGTGACTAACTTGTCGTAGCTTCTAGCTATCATAGTAGCTGCTCATTTTGAATTTTAATCTTATGGCTTCTCATATTTTGAAGAGCTGTTTCCAGCTGTTCTCAGGTTGAGATACTGCACACAGATATCCAGCACAGGTGGTCATGAAGGTCTCAGAGGACACAGACAGTTAGTAAGATCTCTGCTTTCTTCACACAGCAATCACAGAAAAGCTCAAACTTGATTAGTTAGTTTTTAAAACAAAATGTCTTATATTTATGCTGCACTGTCCTGATTTAAGTAAAGTCATTTAGCACAAAAGCTAAGAGAAAATTACTTTTATGAAGTTTCTTTTTAAAGGATTTTATTCCCACGTGTTTCTTTGTTTTAGCTCATTTTCAGGTCATCTGTTGGATCTTAMTCTGTGTGTTTCTGCTTGTAGGRCTGAAACCGTATGTTTGCGGCGTGTGCAATTATTCGAGTGGCAATCGGAGCAACCTGAAGACTCACATGAACCGACACAACACGGAGAGTCGTCACCTCTGCGATTTGTGTGGCAAAAGGTTCAAATCCAAATTCACCCTGAAGAGCCACAGACTAAGCCACGCAGATGAAGGTAGGCAGGCGTCTGCTCAGCAYGTTCTGCTCACAGAAGCACARGAAGTCATGAATAGAAGGGCAATCGTTTTGTTTCCATGCAGGTAAAAAGTTTCAGTGCTCTGAGTGTCCCTTCACAGCAGTGTTTAAACCRTCATTGCTGAGGCACATGGAGCAACACACTAAATTCAAGGTACGAAAGCACACTTATATACTTATATAAACACAGCCTGTAAGGTGATTATCAGCAAAACATTAACTGGTGAGTTTACAGAAGCTCTGGTCCCATTTCCTGTTCTGTTACTTCAACATTAAAGCGAGCCTGAAATTTCCTCTTCTTTCACACTTATTTTCTCAGCACTCTCCTTGTGTGTTTGCAGCCATTTCGCTGTGCTCACTGCCACTACTCCTGTAACATGGCTGGTGCTTTAAAGCGACACTACAGAATGAAGCACCAAGATGAGACRTATGAGAACGCTGCGCCTGAACCGCAGAACTCCCACTCTCTGGAACAACAAGGTCCTGCCTCTGCTCTGTGCTCTCCCCCTGCAGTGTCAGCATTGATCGGTCTGTTTCGTGAACATTTTCCTGCAGAAGTGCAGAACAGGATTATTATAATTAACTAAAACGAATTAAATAACGAAAACTGAAATTGAAAAAAACATTTTAGTTAAAGGCACAGTGTGTAGGATTTTGTCAATTCTTTTAGCCGAAATTGAGATGATC